GGGAGGCACCTTGTGGTAAGATATGATGCGACCTGCCACACAATGTTTTTTTGCAGCTTCTGCTGCATCGGAGTTCCACGTGTGGTGGCTTCCGAGTCACCACCTGAGGCATGGTTTGGATTTTAGGAGCCGCATGGATTCAGTTTTCCTGACCCCAAGAATCCGGGTCGAGTTCCTCAGTCGTGGCTGCAGGTGCTTGTGCTGCTCGCCCGATCAGGCCGCTCCTCCAGCCACAGGAAGTGGCAACATCACACAGTGCGCAGCCGTGCACAAGCAGCAATGGGTCCTTGAGCGAAGCTGTTGCTGCTTCCGTTTGCGCTGCCAAGTGCCCAACCGAACTGAGGGCAAAGCACTTGTGTGCCTGGCCCCATAGCAGCAAGGCAGCTGGGGCGGCCCACGCGCCCAGCTGCGGCCGCTCTCGGGAAAGTGCACGGTGCTTGGTGCTGAAGCGTGCGCGTCTCCGCAACAACTCATAAAACCAGGTGTATATTAGTACATAGTATTACAACACGGGGATGCGTGTGGCTGACGCGCGACGAGACGCGGGGACTGTAACGCACAGTCGGGGCCCCTGCGCCGCCCACGGCCCCCTGGCAGCGGAAGCTGCCAGGGTGCAAGTGCCCCTTCGCCCAGGCTTGCCCTGCTTTTGGCCCAGCCGCGCGCCGTCTGCCGTCTTGGCTTCGACACATTTCCCGCGATCAAAGAGCAACGGTCTCGTCCTATTGCTGTTCAGCAGCGTCGCCACCAAGGCCAAGCACATAGTTGGGGCGGGCCAGGGTTGGTGCAGCCGGCCAAGCCAGCAAGCCGCACTGAGTCGCATAGGATCACACTGTGAACAGCGCACCGCGCTAGCCTACTTAGCCAGAGCGCACTTCACAAGTGCACGCCAGCACCGGTCCATGTGCAGAGACACGTCAGCGAAGACCCCAGCATGCGTCTTCCCGCCGGTGACCTGCTTGCCACCTGCAACCGCCGACTCAGCCAGTCTACGGCACACGCGCACGCTGTGCAGCCCGCGCCGGGCGCCCACTGCCCAGGGAGCCAGCTGGGCGCGACATGACGCTTAGAAGGTCTGCGGGTGGCCCAGGCTGCTTTGCATGGTCAGCCTGCAGCCCTGCACTGATGCATTGACACCCACAACCCAGGGCGGCAGGGTCGCCAGAGCTGGCAGCCCAGCAGGCACTTGATGTCACCTGATGCGCGTGAGTCTGTCAGGTGCTGGGAGCAGCAGTTCTGCACAGCACCCCTGCAACGCCTCGCTGCCACCCGGCACTTACTCTCGCCTGCACACTTGCACTGATAGTTCTACTTCTGGAAGTTTTGTACAGCAGACACGCATGGTAAGAGGGTTGCATAGTCACCCGCGACACCAGTACTGATCCGGGTCTCATCAATGGTCAGCCGCGTACAGTAACCGACTCCTTCCACGCCAGCTGTGGCGGCATCGCAGCCACCAAAAACCTTACAAAACACCAGTGTGCCTCTCATCCCTGATGTTTGGGCTCAGGGCACTCAAACCACGCACGTTTCGAGGGGCGTAAAACGTTGCGCTTGATCACGTGTTGGTGGACAGTATCGTAGTCAGTGTCCCAGGCGCAACGCTCGTGGCTAGAACCCTGCGCCCATGCATCAGCCCTGATACCAGTATTTAGTTGAACCTGTAAGCGCGCGCGTGTGTTCATTTTGAGCTCAGCCGCCAAGGTTCGCACGCTGATGAGTAAGGCGAATACCGTTCACATCGCATGAACCGTAGCGGGCTCACCCGAGAACAATGCTTTGCAAACAGCGACGCCAACAGGGGCGAAGAGTAGCTTAATCTCACACCGCGAATTGACACAGTGTCCACACTTGGCAGCGAACGATCGTCGGCTCGAATCTACACCCGCGCCCACTTTGTTCCGCTTCGGAGGACGCCAGGCCCAACATGCGGTGTAGAAGGAGCTCGATCATGCCTTCGGTGGCTGCACTGCTGCTTGTCAACATGCTGGGCGGGATCACATGTGCCAGGTGCGCTGGCAGGCAATGATGGCATGCGTGGTCCGGTGGCCACGGGTGCACCAGGACGCGGATGGCGCACAAGCAGTAATAGGAGGGGCGCACTGTTGTGCACCGGCGGGCCCAGTGCTGCAAACACGCAAGCCTTCCACATCAGCCTGCCAAGTGTTCAAACCCTTCCGAGCTGATCCTGTATGTCGCGATCCGCTGGTGTGCGTGCATGCGTTTTTTGTTCCTACAATGCATTCGCATGCCCCCCGCAGTACAGCTGTCATCACGGCCAATGCATCTCACCTAATGCCGACCCGCACGCCCGTCCTTGCCCTGCCCCAACCCTCACGACACCCCCCCCCCCAGCCCTCAAGCGGCCCCCAAGAAGCAGAAGCTGGCGTTGGTGAGCACTGCCTGCGTGCCACACAGGACAGCCTTGTTGCATGCACGCCTGCATGCGCGCACCAGCTGCTTGCTTACGGTGCCCCAGCACGTTGGCCACGCGTGTAGACATTTGCCTTGAGACCACGGCGAAACGAGTCCCTGGCCTGCTGCAATCTTTGTCTGGTGTGCAAGGTGGCAGCATCCTGCGGTGCAGGCATCAAAAGAACCTGCTTTCAACGTGCGTGCACCTCCATGCAGTGCGCGCCCGTCAAGGCTTTGACCAAGTCGTGCTCATCCAAGGCCGGCCCGACCGCCCTTATGGATCAGTTGTGCAGCGAGCTGCTGGCACCCGCCAACGCAACCGCCGACAGCAAGGTGCGGGAACACATGCACACACACAGCAGGCCAACGCACGCGACGACATGGTGGTGCTTTTCTTGGTAGTTTGTGGAGGAGGGCAGCTGCGGCTCTTCCAGTACCACTCTCGACGATGTGGCCACCGTCAACGTATTGGGAGCACATCCTGAACTTCCACTGCTGCGGGTTGCTTCACACTTACTTTCTCAAAGCGGCACACTCCCCCAGGACCCCATGAAGCTGCACTATGGCTGCGGCGTGGCTACCACCGCACAGGTCAACAGAGTTTCGGGTGACCTGGCAGCGCTCGAGCCCAAGATCACCGCCGCCGCCGCCCAGGTCAGCTCTGTACACGCCACCGTCGTTCAGGGAAGCAACCAGACGGCCGCGCTGCGCGCCCAGGTGGTTGAGCTCACAGCAGCCGCCGCGGCGCTCAGCGCCCTTGTGCAGCAGCTGCAAGCAAATGCAGCCGAACCCACCGGCACCGGCACCATCATCGCTCAGGAGCTAGCTGCCCTTGCAGCGGCCGACACGCACACCGCCCAGAAGCTGGCCCTGCTGGCTGCGGCAAACCAGACCGCAGCCCAGGACATCGCGGCGCTCAAGGCTGCGAAGCAGCAGTGCACCTGCGGCCCGGAGCTGTTTGCCGTCGACACCACCCTGACCGCCATCAAGGCAGCCCAGACGGCGAACGCGGCCGCAGTGTCGCTGGCCAACGCCACTGTGGAGTCCGTGAAGGCCACAATCACCATAAACGCGGCAGCCACCGCATCGTTTAACACCAGCCTCACTTCCCTGGCAGCCGATGTCGTCAACGTGTCTGCCACCGTGTCTGCCACTTTGTCTGCCATCAACTTCACCATCTATGCAAAAACCGACGACCTGGCCAACATCAACGCAGTCAGCCTTGGGGGTGTGCCTGCGGCGCGGTACCTGCGCGTGCGGGTGGTACTCTACCGTGAATCTTCCACAACCAGGAACGGTAATCTTGGCGGCCGGTCTGGTGCAGACGCCTTGTGCAGAGCCTCCATCAACCGGCCGGCCGGCCTTGTACAGGTGCACGCGTTTCTGTCAATATCTTCATCCGACCAGATTGCCGACTTTCCCACATTGTACGGCGTTCCCAGCGGCCAGGCAATCGAGTCGCTGGGAGGCGCTGTCCTGGCCCGCAACTTTACAAGCATGCTGGGCAGCTTGTCGCTGTCCGTGCTGGCTACGGGCGTGCTACCAACTGTGAGCGCATTTTGGTCTGGCACCACGACAGGTGGATTGGTATCAACCAACACGTGTAGCGGGTTCACCTCTGCCTCTTCAAGTCGTTTGGGCCAAGTTGGGATTTCAACCCTCACTGATAATGGATGGCTAGGATCTAGCCAAAATAATTGCCTTCTTCCCATCAGTTTTTTATGCATCGCGTACTAACCTCAGCAATTTAAAAGCAATCACATTGCGATGTCTCAAACACCATGGCGCATGGCACTCACTTAGCCTGCAAGCAGGTGCTGCCTAGATCTATCTGCTCGTGCCGGCGCACACTGGGCCACGTAGCGCAGAGGGATACCAGGCCCAGCTGCACACGCATAGTGTGCGACCGCTGGTAGGTGGACGCTCGTGCTGCCTTCACCCCTTCGTGTATGTGCCATTCATTCGAAACGCTTCCGCCGTCCGACAACTACTGTCCCCCTTTCATCTTCATATCATCCCTGCACTCCCACCGTTGCTCGTTAACAATTCGATGTGTTTTTGTGGAACAAGCACAAGCACACTGTCTGTGTGACTCCTCACTGAGCAGCTTGGCTGGCGCCCACAGAGTGTTACAACAGCATATACCTGCAGCGATTTGTTCCTTTGGCTTGGAAGGCCCGCCTGCATCACCAGGAAACCTTGAGGCAATCAGAAAGTGCCGCACATCTGGAAGACACAGCGCAGCAAAGTTCAGCGAGCTCTGGTGGTGCAGCAGGAGTCCGCATCGGTGTGTGACAGTGCGTCCCATCATGGCAGCCCAACGGGCAGGCCAGCCGCCGCTGCTTGAAAACAGGACAGCGTACACAAAGCAAAAGGTTGGGATTGTATCAACAAGAGCGGCACTCATCCACACCAACAGAGGTGCACCATCATCCACCCGCCATGGTGTGTGATGCCAGGGTAGCTAGCCAGCAGCAAGGAACAATGCCCGCACGATCCGCCACGCGCCATCCAGCGCCAAGGGCCGCCCACCTGGCAGCCCGTTAGGGCCAAGGTTTGGAAGCACATGCAGCCTTTGTTTGATTTTGCTGGTTTCGTGATGCGTTGTCGCATGTCAGTTGACGCCGCTGCTGCTGCTGCTGCTGCTGCTGCTGCTGCTGCTGCTGCTGCTGCTGCTGCTGCTGCTGCTGCTGCTGCTGCTGCTGCTGCTGTTGCTGTTGCTGTTACTGTTGTTGTTGTTGTTGTTGCTGCTGCTGCTGCTGCTGCTGCTGCTGCTGCTGCTGTCGCTTCTGCTGCTGATCCGCCTGCATCCGCAGACGCAGCAGTCTTACAAGACCCCGATACAAACCACTGCCGCCTGTGG